ATAGATAGATAGATAGATAGATAGATAGATAGATAGATAGATAGATAGATAGATAGATAGATAGATAGATAGATAGATAGATAGATAGATAGCATACTGAGGAGGCCTACTAATTAAGCACTCCTTAGGTTCAGCTGTGTTGAACCAGGGCAGCTCCAAAAACATGCAGGACACTGACCCTTGAGGACCAAATTTGGACACCACTGTGCTATGTAGTATCTAAATTTAGTTTCAAAATACATTATTTTTACATCTGCTAAGGAGATGTCAGCACTGTTTGCCTGAGCACAAGACTACTCAACAATTTATGAATGAATTTTTAGGGCATGTTGGGTTTGTCACAAGGAACACCTCATTAAATGTTGGTGGTGATATGCCACAGCTGCAGCTCTGCCAGATCTGACACAAACAGAAAGTGAAACTTTAAACAGACAAAAAAATGTGTCCAAATTCAGGGGCTGTGTCCTCCAACGGCACTGCATCGCACCAATCAGCATCCAGCAGAACTTTGTTCCACCAATCACAGCTCAGCAGCTGCACATTCTCAATTAAAAATCCTAGGGTTCTGGCAGAGGTATGCACTCTGTGGGTGCTTTCACTTCATAAAATATGAACCTGTTTTACATTTGAAAACAAAAAAGATACGCAATTTTTAACTTTGTTGAAAAATGTCTTCAATGAAAGTCTAATTTTAAGAGATTTTAATTTAAGCCCACCTTCAACTCGATACAGCTCGAACTCAGTCAGCACCAAGTCATCTCCATGKATCTCTGCAGGATGAAAGTTGAAACCGGTCCCTGGACTGGAAACCACTGCAGGCTGGTCGCCGTGCAGGAACACCAAAGCACCAAAATCTGGACCTGTGTTTCCATCTGAGAAAGCAGGCTGCCCTTGGACACCTGCAATCCTCAACATTTTATTTCTCTCATCACTGATGCTGTAAAGGAACGCCTTCTCGTCAGTGATAGCCGTTCCGCTCTGGGTGTAGTCCTTGGAGGTGTAGACTCCAAAGACAAATCCGGCAGCGTTGTAAGCCACAGCGACAGTGGGGCCCTGTTTGTCACTGCGAGCATGGAAGGCAGCCGCTGTGAAACCGTGGATGCTGGCTTTGTAGAGCAGGTGAAGTCTGACGTGGCTGAAGAGAGACAGCAGCTTTTTCTGCTGATCTTTGGACAGGCTGGATGTGACCACTGACATGGCTGAGAACAGACGTCACCTGAGAATGACACAAGCTTCCTGACAGAAAATTCAGGTTGTGATTTGAGATTTACAACCCTGTTTCTGTAAAGACCGAGTACAGTGTGAATAAAAACCAGTCTGTAGTCAMTGATGCACTATTTTATTTTAATTTAAAAAATGTAATTTAGATGCATAACAGAGTCCTCTCTCCTAGTTGTTGCTGTCTGTTTCAGAGTAAACTGAGCAAAAAAATAAACATATTGCCTAATTTACTCAACCTGACTTGGTGGAACCAGTTTATTTCTTAGAGTGTGTGTAAAAGTACTTTTACTTTTACTTTCCCAGTTTTTATGAACAGCTTTATGACTTTTACTTGAGTAGTTTTCTCATCAGTGAAATTTATTTTTACCAGTCATTTTCTGTTCATGTAATTTTACTTTTACTTGGGGCAGTTATGACCCTGACCATTTTTTAATTTTTTATAGTACATGGGAAGCGCCCTCCTATGGCTGCAGCACCTGTCACCCCACGTGGTTTGTGTTTTTGTCTCTCTTGGTTGGGTTGTTCCGAAATGAAATTTCATTGTGCCTCTGTACAATGAAAAAAATATATTTATACATAAACTTAAGGTAAGTTTGACCTGATTTCAAAATGTATGATGTGATACAGTATATATAGATTTAAGCATAGCTGCTGAAAACGGATGCAGGGATTCAGTCTGCTCGTCATATTATGGCTGTATTTGTTGAATCATGTGTTGTCATTTTTCCTGGCCAAATTGTGCTGCAGTTAAATGCATACTCTTGGAAAATTGAGAAATGTAGGTATCTCATACATCCTAAAAGTGTAAAGTATTTGTTACTATTAGAAAAAATATGAGAAAAAATGTAAGCCTTTTCTTAAATGGAGAGTTGTGAAGTAACTAGTACAAATATTTTGTTGCTGTACTTAAGTAGAATTTTTGGTTATCTGTACTTTACTTGAGTAATTATTTTTCAGCATACTTTTTACTTTTACTTATTAGATTTTTACACAATTATCTGTACTTTCTACTCACTGCATTTTTTATAAAGGTAAGAAGTAGAAAGTCGTTACTCCTATTTTATTCTGAGTTGTTATTACTTAAAAAAATACTATCCTGATAAATTGTGTCTCCTGGATAGAGTGAATTTAATTGTGTTTGGATGAGAAGTATAAATATTCTGACTGCTTGTACACAACCCATCACAGCTGTACGCTGTTAGAAAAAATTATTTTTGGAG